GATCTGGAAAGTTAAGCAACGTTGAGGCGTTTTTTGTAACTTTTGAAGTAGTTATCAGAAAAATATGATTTTGGTGTCATTCGACTCGTAAAAATAAAGCGAATTTTTTGAAAATATTTTTGAAGGGGTCACTTGAGTCTGAGGGTAGAATATTTGAGTCTGAAGGGTAAAATCAGTGGAAATAAATTTTAAAAATTATAAAAATTAATGGGAATATTAAAATATGGATTTTTAATGAAAAGGACACTTGAGTCTCGTTTATAACTTTCAGTCTCGGACTGCAAATTTTCATAAAAATTTTAAATTTTAATATATCTTCGAAAATATTTGTGCGAAAACGCGTTGCCGGAGGCAACCGCCAGAGTTTAAAATTATTTTTTTTAATTCGGAACGCGTTGCAGAAAACGCGTTGCCGGAGGCAACCGCCAGAATTAAAAATTATTTTTTAAAAATACGGAACACGTTGCAGAAAACGCGTTGCCGGAGGCAACCGCCAGAATTAAAAATTATTTTTTGAGGAAACCGGAACGCGTTGCAGAAAACGTGTTGCCGGAGGCAACCGCCAGATTAAAAATTATTTTTTGAGGAAACCGGAACGCGTTGCAGAAAACGCGTTGCCGGAGGCAACCGCCAGAATTAAAAATTATTTTTAAAAATACGGAACGCGTTGCAGAAAACGCGTTGCCGGAGGCAACCGCCAGATTAAAAATTATTTTTTTGAGGAAACCGGAACGCGTTGCAGAAAACGCGTTGCCGGAGGCAACCGCCAGAATTAAAAATTATTTTTAAAAATACGGAACGCGTTGCAGAAAACGCGTTGCCGGAGGCAACCGCCAGATTAAAAATTATTTTTTTGAGGAAACCGGAACGCGTTGCAGAAAACGCGTTGCCGGAGGCAACCGCCAGATTAAAAATTATTTTTTGAGGAAACCGGAACGCGTTGCAGAAAACGCGTTGCCGGAGGCAACCGCCAGAATTAAAAATTATTTTTTAAAAATACGGAACACGTTGCAGAAAACGCGTTGCCGGAGGCAACCGCCAGATTAAAAATTATTTTTTGAGGAAACCGGAACGCGTTGCAGAAAACGCGTTGCCGGAGGCAACCGCCAGAATTAAAAATTATTTTTTAAAAATACGGAACACGTTGCAGAAAACGCGTTGCCGGAGGCAACCGCCAGATTAAAAATTATTTTTTGAGGAAACCGGAACGCGTTGCAGAAAACGCGTTGCCGGAGGCAACCGCCAGAATTAAAAATTATTTTTTAAAAATACGGAACACGTTGCAGAAAACGCGTTGCCGGAGGCAACCGCCAGATTAAAAATTATTTTTTGAGGAAACCGGAACGCGTTGCAGAAAACGCGTTGCCGGAGGCAACCGCCAGAATTAAAAATTATTTTTAAAAATACGGAACGCGTTGCAGAAAACGCGTTGCCGGAGGCAACCGCCAGATTAAAAATTATTTTTTTGAGGAAACCGGAACGCGTTGCAGAAAACGCGTTGCCGGAGGCAACCGCCAGAATTAAAAATTATTTTTAAAAATACGGAACGCGTTGCAGAAAACGCGTTGCCGGAGGCAACCGCCAGATTAAAAATTATTTTTTTGAGGAAACCGGAACGCGTTGCAGAAAACGCGTTGCCGGAGGCAACCGCCAGAATTAAAAATTATTTTTAAAAATACGGAACGCGTTGCAGAAAACGCGTTGCCGGAGGCAACCGCCAGATTAAAAATTATTTTTTTGAGAAAACCGGAACGCGTTGCAGAAAACATGCGGGCCGAAGGCCCGCATGTTTATTTATGACCTAAATGTAAAAAATTTATAACTTTTGAAGTATTAGTTATAGAAAGATGGTTGAGGTGTCATTCGATGCGGAATTGAATGAGGAGTTGAATGAAAATATTTTCAAAGGTGTCACTTGAGTCTGAGAACGGACATTTGAGTCTGAAGATTATAAATACTGGGAAATTAACGGAAATTGCTTTATTTAAAAAATTATTTAAATTTATTTAAAATTCGCCCCTTTCCCCCCACTTTTCGGATTTTTCCTGAAAACTACATTGTATTGCGCATCTATAGCAAAAAACCCCACCCCTTTACACCCACTCAAATATAACAATATTACTATATTACTATATTATATTACTATATTATATATTATATTATATATTACTATATTATAATATATTACTATATTACTCAATATTACTATCTATATATAACAGTAAAAAGGCACTCAGCTAAAAAAAAGTCCTCCGGAAGTTTGAGAAGTCGTAGAGGGGTGGGGTTTTTTTCTATAGATGGGAAATTTAATGTAGTTTTCAGGAAAAATCCGAAAAGTGGGGGAAAGGGGCGAGTTTTTTAGATATTGTGAAAAAACGTGTTTTTTCGAATCTTTGAAGTGAAATTTGAATATAAAGATGAAGTCGGGGAAAGTTGGGTCAGTTACAAGGTTGAAGCAACACAACATGGAGAATATGATAGAAAAAAAGTTGAAGTCGTTCGGACAACGGGAAGGGTAGATGTGCCTGTTGACAACTTTTTTTTCAAAGTGGTAACTTTCGATTTAAGGTGTTTAGAGGGGTCTGAGCAAAAAGTTGTTGGGAGAAAAGTTGTAGAGCGTGGTGGATTTCTTAAGAAAAAAGTTGGGTTCAATTTGATCAGATGAAGAGAAAAAAAGATATGGAGTAAAAATTGAAATTTTGAGTATGATGCATATAAGTGACCTTATCTATATTTTGTTTTGGAGTTAGAAAAAAAGTATTGGGAGTTGAAAGATAGAGAATTAAATTCTGCATCGAATAAGCTTTGTTTTATGTTAAAATGAGTTTTTTGGACCGAGTTATGAATTTTTTAAGAAATTAAAATTTTGGGAAAAACTTTTTAAATTTGACAATCTAGACCGTCCGATCTGGAAAGTTAAGCAACGCTGAGCTGTTTTTTGTAACTTTTGAAGTAGTTATCGGAAAAATATGAATGAGGTGTCATTCGACGCGGAAAAATCAGGCGAATTTTTTAAAAATATTTTCGAAGGGGTCACTTGAGTCTGAGGATATGATATTTGAGTTTGAAGGCAAAAATCAGTGAAAATTAATTTTAAAAATTCTAAAAATTAATGGGAATATTAAAAAATAAATTTTTAAGAAAAAGGACACTTGAGTCTCATTTTTAGATTTGAGTCTGAGACTGAAAATTTTGTAAAAATTCTAATTTTTAATACTTTTCTGAAAAATAATTTTAATGTTATTCGCGATGCCTTGAAGTCGTTGCCGGAGGCAACCGCCAGAAATAAAAATTATTTTTTAAAGAAATCGGAACGCGTTGCAGAAAACGCGTTGCCGGAGGCAACCGCCAGAATTTAAATATATTTTTCTAAAAATTCGGAACGCGTTGCAGATAACGCGTTGCCGGAGGCAACCGTCAGAATTTAAAAATATTTTTCTAAAAATTCGGAACGCGTTGCAGATAACGCGTTGCCAGAGGCAACCGCCAAAAATAAAAATTATTTTTTAAAAAAATACGGAACGCGTTGCAGAAAACGCGTTGCCGGAGGCAACCGCCGGAATAAAAATGATTTTTTTTTAAAATACGGAACGCGTTGCAGAAAACGCGTTGCCGGAGGCAACCGCCAGAATTGAAATATTTTTTTTAATTCGAAACGCGTTGCAGAAAACATGCGGGCCGAAGGCCCGCATGTCGATTTTATGCTTAATTTTAAAATTTTATAACTTTTGAAGTATTAGTCGTAGAAAGATGGTTGAGGTGTCATTCGATGGGGAATTGAATGAGGAGTTGAATGAAAATATATTTAAAAGTGTCACTTGAGTCTGAGGGTTGGACATTTGAGTCTGAAGTTTTCAAATACTGGGAAATTAAGCCAAATTGAATTTTTTAAATTGTAATACCGCTGGAGTCAGCCTTTATACCCAAAAGCAATTAAAACTACTCAGCTATTCGCGCCGAACGCTGGTTATCTATATATAATAGTAAAAAGGCAGTCAGCTAAAAAAAAGTCCCCAGAGCTTTTGAGTGGGCGTATCGGGGTGGGGTTTTTTGCTATAGATGCGCAATACTATGTAGTTTTCAGGAAAACCTCCAAAAGTTGGGGGAAAGGGGCGAGTTTTTTAGATATTTTGAAAAAACGTGTTTTTTCGTATCTTTGAAGTGAAATTTGAGATGAAAGATGAAGTCGGGGGAAGTTGGGTCAGTTACAAGGTTGAAGCACCACAACATGGAGAATATGATAGAAAAAGAGTTGAAGTCGTTCTGACATCGGGAAGGGTAGATGTGCCTGTTGACAACTTTTTTGTCATAGTGGTAACTTTGGATTTAAGGTGTTTAGAGAGGTGGGAGCAAAAAGTGGTTGGGAGAAAAGTTGTAGAGCGTAGTGGAGTTCTTAAGAAAAAAGTTGGTTTCAAGTTGATTGGAATAACTTAAAAAAAGATATGGAGTAAAAATTTAAATTTTAAGGAGGTTGCATAAAAGTGACATTAACTTTATTTTGTTTTGGAGTTAGAAGAAAAGTGTTGGGAGATGAAAGATAGAGAATTTATTTCTGCATCGAATAAGCTTTGTTTTATAATTTTTGGGCTTTTTTGGCCCAAGTTATAATTTTTTTAAGAAATTAAAATTTTGGGAAAAAATTTTTAAATTTGACGATCTAGACCGTCCGATCTGGAAAGTTAAGCAACGCTGAGCTGTTTTTTGTAACTTTTGAAGTAGTTATCGAAAAAATATGATTGAGGTGTCATTCGACGCGGAAAAATCAGGCGAATTTTTTAAAAATATTTTTGAAAGGGTCACTTGAGTCTGAGTGTGGTATATTTGAGTCTGAAGGCTAAAATCAGTTGAAATTAATTTAAAAAATTTTAAAAATTAATGGGAATATTAAAAAATAACTTTTTAAGAAAAAGGACACTTGAGTCTCATTTTTAAATTTGAGTCTGAGAATGAAAATTTTGTAAAAATGCTAATTTTTAATACTTTTCTGAAAAATAATTTTAATGTTGTATCGCTATGCCTTGAACGCGTTGCCGAAAGCAACCGCCAGACTTAAAAATTATTTTTTGAAGAAATCGGAACGCGTTGCAGAAAACGCGTTGCCGGAGGCAACCGCCAGACTTTAAAATTATTTCTTAAATGGTTGAGGTGTCATTCGATGGGGAATTGAATGAGGAGTTGAATGAAGATATTTTTAAGAGTGTCACTTGAGTCTGAGGGTTGGACATTTGAGTGTGAAGTTTTCAAATATTGGGAAATTGATCCAAATTAATTTAAATTAGTTGTAATAACGCTGGAGTCAGCTTTTATACCCAAAAGCAATCAAACCGGCTCAGCCATTCGCGCCGAACGCTGGTTATCTATATATAATAGTAAAAGGGCAGTCAGCTAAAAAAAAGTCCCCCGGGGTTTTGAAAAAAGATACGGGGGTGGGGAAAAAAGCTATAGATGGGAAATTCAATGTAGTTTTCAGGAAAAATCCGAAAAGTTGCGGGAAAGGGGCGAGTTTTTTAGATATTTTGAAAAAACGTGTTTTTTCGAAACTTTGAAGTGTAATTTGAACATGAAGACGAAGTCGGGCAATGTTGAGTCAGTTACAAGGTATCATCTAGAGCATATTTCGAATATGATAGAAAAAGAGTTGAAGTCGTTCTGACAACTTTAAGGGTAGATATGCTGTTTACAAGCTTTTATGTCAAAGTGGTAACTTTGGATTTAAGGTGTTTATCGACGAGATAGGAAAAAGTCGTTGGGAGAAAAGTTTTAGAGCGTGATGGGTTTCTTAAGAAAAAAGTTGGTTTCAAGTTGATTGGATTAACAGAAAAAAAGATATGGAGTAAAAAGTGCATTTTAGAGGATGTTGTATTAAAGTGACCTTAACTATATTTTGTTTTGGAGTTAGAAAAAAAGTGTTGGGAGATGAAAGATAGAGAATTAAATTCTGCATCGAATAAGCTATGTTTTATGTTAAAATGAGTTTTTTGGACCGAGTTATGAATTTTTTAAGAAATTAAAATTTCGGGAAAAAATTTTTAAATTTGACGATCTAGACCGTCCGATCTGGAAAGTTAAGCAACGGTGAGACGTATTTTGTAACTTTTGAAGTAATTGTCAGAAAAATATGATTAAGGTGTCATTCGACATGGAAAAATCAGGCGAATTTTTTATAAATATTTTTGAAGGGGTCACTTGAGTCTGAGGATGGGATATTTGAGTCTGAAGATTAAAATCAGTGGAAATGAATTTTAAAAATTATAAAAATTAATGGAAATATTAGAAAATAAGTTTTTAATATAAAGGACACTTGAGTCTCATTTATTACTTTCAGTCTGTGACACAAAATTTTTATAAAAATGAGGCAATTAATTTATAATTTAATTTTACGTTTAATCTAATTTAAAAAATTTAAAACGCGTCGCAGAAAGCAACCGCCAGAATTAAAAATTATTTTTAAAAATCCGGAACGCGTTGCAGAAAACGCGTTGCCGGAGGCAACCGCCAGAAAATAAAAATATTTTTTAAAAAATACGGAACGCGTTGCAGAAAACGCGTTGCCGGAGGCAACCGCCAGAAAATAAAAATATTTTTTAAAAAATACGGAACGCGTTGCAGAAAACGCGTTGCCGGAGGCAACCGCCAGAAAATAAAAATATTTTTTAAAAAATACGGAACGCGTTGCAGAAAACGCGTTGCCGGAGGCAACCGCCAGAATTTAAAATTATTTTTTAAAAATTCGGAACGCATTGCAGAAAACGCGTTGCCGGAGGCAACCGCCAGAAAATAAAAATATTTTTTAAAAAATACGGAACGCGTTGCAGAAAACGCGTTGCCGGAGGCAACCGCCAGAATTTAAAATTATTTTTTAAAAATTCGGAACGCATTGCAGAAAACGCGTTGCCGGAGGCAACCGCCAGAATAAAAAAATTTTTTTTAAATTGCCGGAACGCGTTGCAGAAAACGCGTTGCCGGAGGCAACCGCCAGAAAATAAAAATATTTTTTAAAAAATACGGAACGCGTTGTAGAAAACGCGTTGCCGGAGGCAACCGCCAGAATTTAAAATTATTTTTGTAAAATATCGTAACGCGTTGCATAAAACGCGTTGCCGGAGGCAACCGCCAGAATTAATAATTTTTTTTAAATTTCGAAACGCGTTGCAGAGAACGCGTTGCCGGAGGCAACCGCCAGAAATTAAAATTACTTTTTTAACTCGGAACGAATTGCAGAAAACATGCGGGCCGAAGGCCCGCATGTTTTTCTATGACTTAAATTCAAAAATTTATAACTTTTGAAGTATTAGTCGTAGAAAGATGGTTGAGGTGTCATTCGATAGGGAATTGAATGAGGAATTGAATGAAAATATTTTCGAAGGTGTCACTTGAGTCTGAGAACGGACATTTGAGTCTGAAGTTTTCAAATAGTGGGAAATTGATCCAAATTAATTTAAATCGGTTGTAATAACGCTGGAGTCAGCCTTTATACCCAAAAGTTATTAAAACTACTCAGCAATTCGCGCCGAACGCTGGTTATCTATATATAATAGTAAAAAGGCAGTCAGCTAAAAAAAAGTCCCCAGAGCTTTTGAGTGGGTGTATCGGAGTGGGGTTTTTTGCTATAGATGCGCAATACTATGTAGTTTTCAGGAAAAATCCGAAAATTGGGGGTCAAGAAGCGAAAAAATTAGATATTTCGAAAAAACATGAATTTTCGAATCTTTGAAGTGAAATTTGAGATGAAAGATGAATTCGGGGAAAGTTGGGTCAGTTACAAGGTATCATCTTCAGAACATTTGGAATATGATAGAAAAAAAGTTGGAGTCGTTCGGACAACGGGAAGGGTAGATGTGCTGAAGACAAACTTTTATGTCAAAGTGGTAACTTTGGATTTAAGGTGTTTAGAGGAGTCGGAGCAAAAAGTGGTTGGGAGAAAAGTTGTAGAGCGTGGTGGATTTCATAAGAAAAAAGTTGGTTTCATGTTGATTGGATTAATGGAAAAAAAGATATGGAGTAAAAAGTGCGTTTTTGAGGAAGTTGCATATAAGTGACCTTAACTATATTTTGTTTTGGAGATAGAAGAAAAGTATTGGGAAATGAAAGATAGAGAATTAAATTCTGCATCGAATAAGCTTTGTTTTATGTTAAAATGTGTTTTTTGGACCGAGTTAAGAATTTTTTAAGAAATTAAAATTTTGGGGAAAATTTTTTAAATTTGCCGATCTAACCCGTCCGATCTGGAAAGTTAAGCAACGGTGAGGCGTTTTTTGTAACTTTTGAAGTAGTTATCGGAAAAATATGATTGAGGTGTCATTCGACGTGTAAAAATCAAGCGAATTTTTTGAAAATTTTTTGAAGGGGTCACTTGAGTCTGAGGGTGGAATATTTGAGTCTGAATGCTAAAATCAGTGGAAATGAATTTAAAAAATTCTAAAAATTAATAAGAATATTAAAAAATGAATTTTTAGTAAAAAGTACACTTGAGTCTCATTTATAACTTTCAGTCTGGGACTGAAAATTTTTATAAAATTTTATAAAAATAAGGCAAATTAATTTATAAGTTAATTTTACGTTTAATTTAATTTAAAAAATTCGTAACACGTTGCAGATACCGCGTTGCCGGAGGCAACCGCCAGAATTAAAAATTATTTTTTGAGGAAATCGAAACGCGTTGCAGAAAACGCGTTGCCGGAGGCAACCGCCAGAATTAAAAATTATTTTTTAAAAATTTGGAACGCGTTGCCGGGGCAACCGCGAGAATTAAAAATTGTCTTTTGATGAAATAGCAACGCGCTGCAGAAAACGCGTTGCCGGAGGCAACCGCCAAAATTAAAAATTATTTTTTAAAAATTCGGAACGCGTGTAGAAAACGCGTTGCCGGAGGCAACCGCCAGAATTAAAAATTATTTTTTTAACTCGGAACCCGTTGCAGAAAAATTGCGGGCCGAAGGCCCGCATGTAACGCGTTGCAAAGAATACGTTGCCGAAGGCAACCGCCAGAATTTCAATTTTTTAAATTCGGAACGCGTTGCACTAAACGCGTTGCCGGAGGCAACCGCGAGAATCTGAAAAATATTTTAGTATTAATTATTAACATGCGGGCCGAAGGCCCGCATGTTATTACTATTATTTTTTGTTTTTTTTTTCAAAAATTTATAACTTTTGAAGTATTAGTCATAGAAAGACGCTTGAGGTGTCATTCGATAGGGAATTGAATGAGGAATCGAATGAAGATATTTTCAAAGGTGTCACTTAAGTCTGAGAATGGATATTTGAGTCTGAAGTTTTCAAACACTGGGAAATTGACCCAAATCAATTTAAATCAGTTGTAATAACGCTGGAGTCAGCCTTTATACCCAAAAAGCTTAGTTACTTGTCAGCAATTCGCGCCGAACGCTGGTTATCTATATATAACAGTAAAAAGGCACTCAGCTAAAAAAAAGTCCCCAGAGCTTTTGAGTGGGTGTAAAGGGGTGGGAAAAAAAGCTATAGATGCGCAATACTATGTAGTTTTCAGGAAAACCTCCAAAAGTTGGGGTCCAATGGAGAAAAAATTAGATATATTGAAAAAACGTGTTTTTTCGAAACTTTGAAGTGAAATTTGAATATGAAGACGAAGTCGGGGGAAGTTGGGTCAGTTGATAGGGCACATCTAGAGCATATTTCGAATATGATAGAAAAAGAGTTGAAGTCGTTCGGACAACTTGAAAGGTAGTTATGCCATCCACAAACTTTTATGTCAAAGTGGTAACTTTGGATTTAAGGTGTTTAGAGGGGTCTGAGCAAAAAGTGGTTGGGAGAAAAGTTGTAGAGCGTTGTGGGTTTCTTAAGAAAAAAGTTGGTTTCAAGTTGATTGGATTAACGGAAAAAAAGATATGGAGTAAAAAGTGCATTTTTGAGAATGTTGCATAAAAGTGACCTTAACCATATTTAGTTTTGAAGTTAGAAAAAAAGTGATAAGAGATGAAAGATAGATCTTTAAATTCTGCATCGAATAAGCTTTGTTTTATGTTAAAATGAGTTTTTTGGACCGAGTTATGAATTTTTTAAGAAATTAAAATTTTGGGAAAAACTTTTTAAATTTGACAATCTAGACCGTCCGATCTG